AAAGTCGGCATACCATCAAATACCTACTGACGAAGAATTTAAAGAATTCACAACAATAAACACACCAAGAGACTTATTAAGATGAAAAAGAATGCCGTATGGAATTAAAACAGCAAGGGCAAATTTTATTGGTAGGGATATAAAAAAAATATACTTATGCTACCAGGATCACATTTGTGTTTGTGCTATTAAGAACGAAGAATTAAAATGGAAAATCCAGTACGGTTTTTAATAAGTTAAAAAAAATGCTGGATTAACGAAAACAAATGTTCACAACACTAATAAATATAATTTTGGGGACACTCCATATCTAAGAAAGGCATATCTCCAGACCAATCGTTAATTGACAAAATATTAAAGTTGAAGTAACGTAGAAAAAAAATAGAATTGGAATCTTTCTTATGAATTGTAAATTTCTGCAGACGATATGTAGAGCGATATTCAGATTTGTCAAAACCTTTTGCTGCTTTAAGAAAAAAGAATGTGGAATTTATTTGGACAAAAGAGCGACAAGTGGCATTTGAAAATTTAAAAGCTGTTCTGGCAAAGAAGCCAGCAGTAAAAATATTCGACCCTAGAAAGGAAATAGTAGTAACAAATGACACGAGTAAACACTCGATTTCGGGGACATTAGCTCAGAATGGCCATCCTATTATATATCATTCGAGAAAATTGTCAAAAGTCGAATTGAACTACTCAAATGTTGTGAAAGAATCGTTGACCATAATATAGACGACAAACAGAGCTCACCAGTTTCTGATTGGAAAGAAATTTCTACTAATGTCATTAATGTAACCTTTAGAATTCATATTTAATCCTATGAAGTAACGTCTTCTAGAATTTTAAGATGGGCCATAATGCTAATGGCGTTTGACTTTGATAATGAGTCCATGAAAGACAATATCATTCCGAATATAGACACTTTATCGAGATTGGAGTTTATTACTTCTGAAAGTGAGAATGAGGAGGAGAAATTCGAAGATACTTTCTTAGAAGGGATTGAATCTGATATTTTGTCGATAGACAAATTAACCGAGAACACGAAAAGAGATCACATATTGAACAATATATTGTTCGGGATAAAATAATAATAAATGGTACAATTGCTCATGGGCAGAAAAGCGTTTTAAAGAAGTTAAGCATGAGTTAACTGTAGAGAAGAGTGTAATTTGTAATGGAGACGTAGTGATTCCGCCGGCAACTTAAGGGAGCAAAATCATAAAAAGTATACATAACGATTGCGCAATAGCATCTACGCAAAGAAGATTATGGCTAGAAGCATGGTGGCCAGGCTATTCTACAGATGTGGAATGGCCTTGTGACCTTGGTACAGAGTACACATGGATCATACCCATGTTAATTATTAATAATAAGGCTAGATTCGTATCCAGGTTGGCCATAAGTAATACAGGTCTCGAACAAAAGAAGTTAGACCGTGAAACAAGAGTTAAAGATCATATTTTCAAGAAAACTTTTCAGAGTTCTTTGTCGAAGAATTATGCCAATGGTTGAACAAAATTGGATTCAAACTGTTATGGGACCTTACCCATAATAACATAATGGACTATTCCATACGTAATAAATACTGCGCCTCAAGAGGAAGCGGGAGTTCAGTCTGAAGTCTGGAGTGAAGTCCGGCAGGAGTCTGTCAGTCAGTCAGAGCGAGCGAGTCAGTCAGTCAGTCAGTCGAGTCAGAGGCAGTCCGAAACAGAGTCGCGTTCAGACAATTACTACTAAACCTGATTGTTCGTACTAACACTTTCTACTTCTCTGTATATATATTCCTGTTTGTAATATATCTGTGTTATTCCATATCAGTGTTCGAGTTCTTTTTTATTGGTTCTACCTTGGACTATCACCGGACCATAACACAAACCATATAACTGCCCACCCCGTACCATTCGCAATCAAACGGATTAGCAGATATAATCGTGCAAACTTTTAAAAACGGGTTGAAAATATGTGTACAAGAGAGAAGATAGAAACATTTCTTCCTAGATTGTTGCTAAGTTATAGTGCAATACCACATACAGGAAAATCAAAAAGCCTCATAGGTTGACAAATTGGAGCCTCATGACCGTGTATCATACTACCAACGAAAAATTATGGTTTAAAAAGAATAATAAATCTAATCTACAAGAGGCAAGATTCATAATGCAAAGTGGACAGAACACTATGATAATAGAAAGAAATGGAAATGGGATATTAGTGCATACTGACCAAGTTAGATTGCAAGACGAGGGCGATAAAGAAATGTATAGTGAGCCTAAAAGTGATGAAGATGAACGTGTCACGTTATGGCTAGACAAACTAGACAGTGATATCGAGAGTAATATAGAATCTAAAGATGAACAGTCGTTGGAGGAACACTCCTAAGAAAAAGAAAAAAAGGTCAAGATTTCCCATATCTAAACAATCACTTAGTGAGATGGACGAAGATAGCGAGGAAACAAAAGCTCACAGAAAAACTACCAGGAAAAAAGGGATAGCTACAGTTATTACCCATAAGGCAGTGGAGTGTATACTACTTCCTGCGAATAGGTAACACAACACAACAAATTCACAATGCCACACCAATAATTATCAAAGTTAAGATAATACTACTGCTGATGGTCTAAGTAGTTGCGAGGAAAATACAACTGCAATCATAATGAAAGAGATAATAAAAATGTTAAAATGTTAAATGTTAATAGCTCGCAGGATCTCATCTAATAATTATAGAATTCAAGATAATATTATTAGTGATGATCTCACTTTCTGAGATAAAAAGCGACATAAATTAAGATTAAAGAAATATAAATGAAAAGCAAATATATTAATATTATTAGCGAGAAAGACCATGAAATAACTTTGAAATATTTCGAGGTATGGTTAATGTTGTATCGGCACCTCGCTTGTGCCACATTTAAGCTATGCTTAGAAAATCAATGTTTACCATATTTTATACATCTGTTGCAAAAGGAAATACGAAAGCCTAAGACAGAATGACATCAGTTTTTACTTAAACCTCGTCATAAGCACTTTGTGCCTTGCTTCGTTACTTTATATTATTAGAATATATAATCAATCACAAACTAAGATGAAGGCGACCGCGAACTTAATTGTTTTCTTAATTCAAACTGGTTCATTTGATTCAAAGGACAGTTTCTACTTGGCTTAATTCTTTAAAGTTTGCGAGAAGCTTCCAGCTGAAAGCGATAATCAAAATAATTCACTTTCGCTTAGAAGTAAAATGTGTTCATTAATTAAATACCGATTTCCAATTTAAAACTTCAACATGAAATTTTATGACTACTAGCGGTGCTTTGAACCGATCATCAAATCAAAAACTGTTTTCTTTTTCACTTAAAACTCTCGGACATTGATCTAAAGAGAATGACTGTTTTTTCACTTCATTTTGTATGTCTTCACAAAATCAGGTAATGTAGTGGACATTTTTTGTTTGTCCGTGTGAATTGCTGGCATGATTAAATCAGCTTGACCAAATATGGATTCGGTGTTATAAAAATCCATTTCGTTCAGAATCATAACTCTAGACATATTCGGCTTACATATCCGTCAGAATTGAAATCAAAGACATATGCTGTGACATGTCCAATTCGAGATCACATCTGGTCTCTCAACTAAAATTTCTACCTGGGAAAATTGTAAAGAACTAGAATAACACACATCAATCCATTCCAAATCGTCGTCTTGAAATTTATAATCTACAATATCTGCCAATAACATCTCCAATGTCCTGAACAGACAAAGCACATCAAGGAAGAGACATCGTGGTGCTACTGTGTTGTTTCTTTAGCGAATAAGATTTTGCGAAATGGAGTGGCTAGCATCACGCTCAAACGCGTTTCGATTCTAAACTTTCCTTCTCCTAGTCTGGTTGTCAACCGCGTCTCTTATTAACCACTTTCCGAAGATTATTCGTACAAAAGCGATCACAGTGACCATGGACTGAATTCGAACTCGGCATGCCACATCCTGTAAGAATACTGGAACCAAAAAATAAATTCTCTGGATACATTTTTTTTGAAAATGCTATAATAATTTCTTGATTTTCACAGGAAAGACGTCCGGAATATTAAGTTGGATTAAATCGTGTGCTTGCGTAAATAAACGAGACTAGCAAGTAAAAACAAAAAAAAACAGAATATCATTTATTAGATTAAGCATTGTCAAACATAACTGACAATGCTTCATGACTTTTCTTTCATCTTAATTTCTGTTACTTTATATTGCACCTTTAATCAGGCATTCTATTGTGATAAGTAGACAGCGTGTCTTAGTCATACAGATCGAATTCCAAGCGCAACTTGAACTCAAGCTCTTTTTCACCTCGAGAAGTCTGTTTATATTCCGACTAAACTATTAAAACTTTTATCGTTGGGAGAAAGTCAAATACAGTTTTAGTAAGGTTCACTACAATACAAGGAGAAATACTCAAAGTCTACCTTGGGTTACAGTCAAAATGCTAATGAGGTGTTATATGAATGAAGAAGAAAGTGCTATGAAGTGAATATGAGGATAAGGAGGATAGATAACAATTGATATTTGACTTGAAAAGATAATAGTGTTCTGGTCCTGACCTAGCGTCTCGATTTCAGCCATTTTCCCCTTATTTTTCTCACCGAGATATTTCGAGACATTCATATTCGTGAATTTTCTTCCCCTAGTTTATCTCACCATCAGTTTCACTGTTGAATGTTCACCCACCGGACCATTTCCAGTTTATTTGTTTTTTGTTTGTTTTTGTTTTGTTTTTTTTTTTTGGCGGGGGGTCGTGCCATTTCAAATAAGAATCGAACCATGGCGTGAGGCAAAGGCTGACCAGTTCATGAAACACCCCCCGAGGGATCAGCGCGTATACACTGGTGGCGCGATTGGCAGATATTGAAAGTAAACAAATGCCAAAAAAATATTTAGCAGGGGAACGAAACAGTAAATAACATATTGAGAGTTCAAAATTGTTTTCATTGACTATTTTCTTGTTTCGACTTGCAGACTTATGTAAGAGACGCGAGTTGCTCTAAAAGTAGATAGATAGATAGATAGATAGATAGATAGATAGATAGATAGATAGATAGATAATGAAAAGACAGACAGATAGAGAGAGAGATAGTTATTGAAAAAATCTATTTATCTTGTTTCTACTAATGTAATAGACGCGAGATGTTCGAAAAGTAAGAAAAAATATTTACTAGGAGAAAAATAAAACATAGAGATTTACTAATGCAACAGTACTCCTGCCATATCTGGAATAAAGCTACCTAATCCTCACTCTTCATCCTCAACGCGGCCTTGTGGGGGATTAATTATTTTCCACTCTGCAACCCCTTTCGCCATGACGCAACGTCGCAAGCCCATCGCTACTCTTTCCATGGTAAATGTTTTGACGAGTTACATTCCTTCGTGCCACTAGTTCAGACCTTCCCAGCTAGAATCCAGGATAACATTTACAGTGGGAAAATCATCCCCTATTCCCTTCGTATTCCATTAATAAGAAGGAATTTCACCTCTGATGACTTCTTCTCAAGAATCTCTACTTAGTGGAACAGACTCCTGAATTTTTTTCTTAATAGTGTGCCCCCATTACTATTACCTTGTGTCAGTCTAAGTTAAGCTTAATAAATCGCCATGTTGATTTAAATGTGAAATGGCTGTTGGCAATTCATCGTCTGCGTAATCTTCAATCACATTATTAAAACGTTCAAATTGTCTCGATTTGAAAATGCCATAGTCCACAGTTCAACCTTTTATCAATTATCGTGAATTCCCTGGACATGATTTCTTATGGAAATAGGCATTTGTTTGATAAATCTACGAATCTTTGCTCTCGGTTATACGTGATAATTAACTCAGCCGTCTTCTCTAGAAAATGAAATGGAAGGGTCAGCCGTTTTCCCCTGAGACGGGATTAATTCTTGATAAAGTCGAGGCTATGGTTTATGTCAGCTGAACTATACACGAGGTAAAGTGGCTTTCTGTGTTGAATCTTCCGGGATGAATCGCATGTTCAACTGATATACCCACAGACGCACCAAAATAATTAGATAAAGAAGTAGGGCAAGATAGATAGATAGATAGATAGATAGATAGATAGATGTTGTAGAGTAGTTTTCACAGTGGAGGCTTGTATATCACTAAGTCGGTCCTAAATAGGTTCGACGTACAAAACGGTAGAAACTTGAAATAATAGTTAATGAAGCAGCAATCTAGTTGTGGTGGTTGATACTTCAATGTCCAACATCGACTCACTCACTCAACTCCACTGAGCCCCCTGACGACTGCTACTACTACTACTTATTATATCTGGGAGAGTCTATTTACAATAGAATAGGTATGTTCCGGTATAACAATAGATAGATAGATAGATAGATAGATAGATAGATAGATAGATAGATAGATAGATAGATAGATATTGGTAGGAGGAAAGAGAGAGAATAGTTGATCCTATTATTAACTCAATAAAAGCATAGCAATCCATTTAACGTAAAGGATTACTGAAAGTAACAATTGATCCAAAACTTGAATACGTGAATATTGTGGTGATCTGGAAAGTCATCTCTCGAGAGTTTGTTCCACACAGCAGCAACAAGAAGCTATCAGAATGAAAACATCTTTCTTATCTCCTGGGACACGATGGGAATGAAAACAGTACACCCGTGTATACATGGCATGGCGTGTCTTAGCTGCAGTCTGAACAGGTAGAACTTGAGAATGTAGCCCATGAAACTATTTTCCATTGAAATAGGCTAGTCACCTGGCGTCTGCGTAAATGTGGTTGCAAGGTGGGAAACAATTAATCGCCTACAGGCCCTCGTAAACGCCTTTGAACTCAGACGAGGCTTGGAAGAGAGAATTGTGCAACTCTAAATCAGATATGGCGGCAGTGATTCATCTCTGTTCTAATTTGACTTTGACAAGTACAGAGCATCTCAGTATGAGTCGGTTACTTTCTGGATCTAGACCAATTGTAAAAATTCCTTTTGCATGCCAGTAACGCTAAAAAACCGCCTGAGATATCAAGGTTGAATTTTTTCTCGTCTGAAAACAACACTTTCTTCCATTTATCCATATCCCAAGTTTGATAATCGGAAGCAACTTGTAAACGGAAGGTTTTATGACGAAGAAGGCGAGGCCTCTGCAACCGTTTCAAGTTTTTAAAACCTTTCTTATTTAAATGCCGTCGAATTGTTCGAGAGCTGCATTCAGCATCTGTATTCGCTTTTATCTGATTTGATGTTAGGCTTGAATCTCTCTTAACTTCTCGACTAATGCTTCTGTCTAGAGATGGTGAGATTTTATTGGGGCGACCGCTTGATTTTTTAGAAGCATACGCATCCGGATTTTTAATGAAGTCAGCAATGACAGTTCTGCTACGGCCAATTTCATTTGCAATGGCTCGTTTCGAAAGACCACGTCTTTGAATTTCAACAATCCTGCTCTGTTCGAACTTTGTACCCTTAGCCATTTTAAGATCTGAAATTTTATGTTGGAAATGAGCGATAGTAGATGTCTTCACGCCTAAAGTAAGGAGTACACTGACTAATTCTAGAATTTTTGTCTTGTAATTTTTTTTCACATATAGTCTTATGTTTATGACCAGCGAAAAATACTTTTTCAATCTTTGTTTAAATTAATCACTTAAAAGCTTAAAAATTTACACTTGTTTGTTGATAAACTACATTTTCTAATTAAATGTAAATGTTTCGCAAATATATTTTGATTAAAATAACAGTATTTTATTTTTAACCATTTTGTATCTGTATCTGTCTATATTTCTGAGATGAGGTATTATGTACATTATTTACATTATTCGGACTATTGTCCTCATCTTTGTCGCCATATTTATTACAACATTTCGGCCGTTGCGTTCTCCGGCCTTCTTCAGGTGGTTGGGATGTCGATTTTATTTTGCTCACTAGGGTAGATTGTCCTAGTTCCACGTGCTATGTTTAATGGATGTCAGTTATCAGTTATCTCCTGTTAATTTCCCTCTGAAAGTTCTCCACTGCCTTAACCGGGTATTGAACTCACACTCTTTGGGTCCTGTCACTGGATCTAACTAACTCCTTTATCCATTGTGCCATGTGTCCTCGAGGACAGCAACAACAAGAAGCTATCAGAATGAAAACATCTTTCTTACCCCCTGGGACACGATGGGAATGAAGATAGTACACCCGTGTACACATGGCAGGGCGTGTCTTAGCTGCAGTCTGAACAGGTAGAAAATGAGAAGAATTTTATCCACTGTGTCATGTGTCCTCGAGGACACATTGCATAGTGGATAAAGGCGTTAGAACAGTCTACCCCAGTGAGCGAAATAAAGGGTTCAGTTCGACATTCCAACCACCTGAAGAAGGCCAGAGCGTACAACGGCCGAATCGTTGCAATAAATATGGCGACAAAGATCAGGACAATAGTCCGAATAATATAAATAATGGCCTTTTATATCTGGTCTTGAGATTTTGAGCAGAAGTGTACAAGATTGATTCAATAACATATCTTTCCCGTTTCTTTATCTTTTCAGTGGGTGTGCGAAGCGTTGGTAATATCATACCATTACTTGCAGTCGACGAATTTCTTCTGGATGTTTGTCGAGGGACTTTACCTTCACGTGATACTGGTCTGGACATACTCGGCTGATAAATTAAGACTTTGGCATTTTCTTCTGATTGGCTGGGGTAAGACGTCAGCGAATATTAATTGATTCATTGCGCTTCTGTTACCATATTCGAGTAACTTTCTCGCTTTTTATTTACTCTGTTTTTACTTGCTTTACCAAGACGGCTAACCAGACGAAGTGGGTCAGAAGATGACCATCTTGGCGGAACATTATGTCTGCCCTGTTTTAATTTTTATCGAAGCCTTCAGCGCATTTGAAGAGTTTTAAGGGAAAAAATTGATGTCAGTTTTTTTGCAAAACACAGATTTTGAGATTATATGCGTTTTATTTGATTCTTACGTATACAACGCGGCAAAAAAACAATATACACGTGTGATGAATAATAATTCAGTCTTTGCTTTTATTTTTTTATCATTTCTGACGATAAAATACAGTCGAGGCAGTCAGTCTTTGGTGCAAACCTTATTGCCTCGGGTCAGATATATGGAACTTACATTCTCCGATTGTGGTGAGTGAGAGACTTGCTGAATCATCTCTGGATCGATTGTTTATATATCTAATTGTTGAGTACTCCAACGTGGTGTAATGGTTATTAAGCTTGTCTCTCTAGATCAATTATGACTGGGTTCTGAATTGAATACTTAATAGGTAACACATGCTTACAGCTTTGTGCCACAACTAAGCTTCACTTAGTAAATCACGATATATATATATATATATATATATATATATATATATATATATATATATATATACAGTTTGTAAAACTGTGTCCAAATCGTATAACAGCAATATTTTTATATTAAGCTTTGAACCGTTGTATCTTAGAAATGATTAAAGATATCTTACTGGAATTCTCCGAGGTTTCTATAACACTATTCTCCTTGTTCTCCTCCTCCTCCTCCTCCTTCTTCTTCTTCTCCTCCTCCTCCTCCTCCTCTTTCTTCTTCTTCTTCTTCTTCTATACGCCATGTTCGTTCAGGACGGAGGCGATCATGGCTCTCAAAATGTCCTGTCCATGGTAGTATTTTTATTATTTCTCCTAAATCTTATTCCACAATCCATTTACACAAGCTCAAAGGTTATGCATTGTTTTTTTTGTCCTTCTTGCCTTCAATCTGTCCTGTGAGTATCAGATTTTCTAAGCCCCTTTTTACGAAAAAAATTTCAACTGTCTCTTCCTGGTGTTATGTATAAGTTTTCTTTTTATTTCCATTTTCTCTAAAACTTTGTCGTTACTTATATGTTCGGTCTATGGTATCCTCAGCATCCCTCTGTAGAACCACAGTTCTGCTGTATCAATTCTCCTCTTCATCTGTGAGAAGATTGTCCAGCACTCGCTACTGATATTACGTAACTATTTAGTATTCTTTTCTTTCTTTCATACCAATTTTTTCTGTTTCTTAATACTTTGCTTAGCTTTTGGAAGTCATCTTTGGCTATCCAAGCGCCCCCTCGGATTTCAATATTTCTCTTTCCGTCCTCTGATAAAACATTCTCCAGATATTACATTTTTTGTATTTGTTTGATTTTGGTATCTTCAATTTGTAATTTGCATATTGAGCAGTTCTTTTTGCTGTCATGTATATCGTCTTCTTGTAATTGATATTTAGTCCTTTCTTCTCGCTTTCCTTCACTACCTCCTGTAGGAGTTTTTGTACTTTCCGTATGTGCAATCAACACTGTTTTATCTGCATGTCTTATTTTGTTGAGATTGTGGCCGTCAATAATGAATCCTGGTAGTACATCTAATTCTCTGAGAATTGCTTCACCCTATAGAGTGAATAATTCCGGTGAGGAGACCCGTCTTTATCTTACACCGCATTCTATTTTTGTATATCCACTGAATTCATTTTCTGTCCGTAGGCAGGCGGTTTGCTGCCGGTATAATTTCTGGATTATTCTAATATCGTTCCCAAATATCTCAAAAATGTATTGCTGGTAATATTTTTTCCTTCAAAAATCTATTTTTGGTAATTTTTTTCCAAAAATGTATTGCTGGTAATAATTTTTTTACAAAGTATTTCTGGTATTAAAACTTATATTTACACTTTCATAGTGTTCTGAACCCAGTTTGGGGATTAACTATTTTGCTATAGTTGAACTCTAACAGATACTACCACCCCGGGTCAATTAAGAGGTCGTTCCACGTTCCTCAAAACCTCCTGAACAGAGGCCTTGCTGTTGGATGTAGTTCATCGACATACTCAGGAGTCGGACGTAGTTTATCGACATAACCAGGACGTGGAAGTCTCATTAGATAATTGGGGACTTCCACGTGCGGACATAAGTTGCCTCGTCCAGTCTTATATAAACAACTGAGTTGCCGGGGGACAGATATATTTATGCTTTTGTGGGGTACCCCAAGGCGGTGTAGTAGTTAACAATCTTGTCTCCTTAGAACAATGACGACTGAGTAGTGAATTCGATCCTCACTGGGTGCCCCATACTTTCGGCTTTGTGCCATATCTAAGCTACGCTTGGTTGGAAAATGACTATTTATGTATTTTTATTTCGTTGGTATGAGAATAAAGTAACTGAGAATTACTACTGCCATTGCCGTTCTGATTATTATACAGTAGACTCATAGTCTTTAGATGTCTGCATGAAATAAAAGTTAGGGTAATGGTCTGTACAAAATGGTCTCGTAAAAACACGTAATCGCCTCATAAAAACCGAAAATATTTTGAAACACTATCGGTTTAATTTCATTTCTCTGCAGAACCCTTAGAAAATCGACCGGAAATAATTTTCAAATCTGTGATATCATTGTTAAACCCCAAAATAAGAATAATTTATCATTAAAACAAATAGTTTTTTGCTTGTATTTTACGAAACATACACAAGCTTGACTTACTCAATTCCTTACTCGATGTCGGCCATGCATTTTGGAAAGAAAGGCTCCGGCTGCCAAACAAAATGCCTGCTCACGTGTTTTCTTATATTTATCTAGTGGTTATTTTAGGAGATCAAGTGACAGCAAGTCTTTTCAAGATTCCTACCTTCTGCCCAGAAGTCTTTATTTATCTTCTGTATGAGTTCAGTTATTCATTCAAAAGTATTTCATGCCTTTTGCCATGTGGCAGCAAGTCTCCTGAAGATTACGATATTCTTTGCATGATTTTTGCTGGATTAAATGGTGCTGTCATCTGGTTGTTTTTTATTCTTTCTAGAATTCCTAATTTCCTCAATTTTTTAGATCCTTCCAAGTGCACAAATAACAATCGGTACTACTGTCTCATTCGTGTTCTACTATTTTTCCAGTTCAAATTCATTTGCATTTTTATAGATTTTGTTTTGTGCGTGTGTGTGCGCACGCGCATGTGTGTGTGAGAGAGAGAGAGAGTGTGTGTGTGTGTGTGTGTGTGTGTGTGTGTGTGTGTGTGTGTGTGTGTGTGTGTGTGTGTTTTAAGGAGAATTTTCCATAGTTACAAAAGGACAAGAATCCCCCAAAACACGTTTCGTCATTTAAATTTTGATGGACAATGCGAACAAAAAAATCCCATTACTGAATCTGAATTGGGATGATAATATTGTTTTCTTTCTCTCTCTCTCTCTCTCTCTCTCTCTCTCTCTCTCTCTCACACACACACACACACACACACACATTTGCTCTCTTTCTTTCCCTCTTCTTTTCTCTCTCTTTTCCTCGCTCTTTCTCTCGCTCACTCTCTTTCTCTCTGTCTTTCTCATTTTTGTTAATTCTCGATCTCCCTCTCTTATTCTCTTACTCTATCACTCACTTTCTCTCTCTTTCTCGTTTTTGCTCAATTTCTCTCCCTTTTTTACTCTTGCTCTTTTTATCTCTATCCATTTCTCACTATTACTCTCTTCTTCTTCTCTTTCTTGCTATTGTATTTCTTTATTTCGCTTTTACTCTTATTCTCTATTTCTCTCGCACATTTTCTCTTTCTTTCTGTCTTTCTCTCTCGTTCTGACTCAATTTCTCTTTCTTTCACTTACTCTTTTTCCCTTCATCTTTTTCTCACTCTTGATTATTTCGTTTAAAGTATTTTCATGTTGTTATTTCACGATGTAACCGTTTTTAGTAGCATAGTAAATATTTGTTTACGTGTCTGTATATGGAGATAAGTCCAGATTGTTTATTTAGTGATTTTTGTTGGTCTGAGAAGGTATTATAATATACCTGTTATGTACCTGTTTTTTATAGTTTCATCGACGTCTACAGAAAGAAAACTGAATATAGATCCAGTCATGCCGACATGTCTGTGTGTGTTCATCATTTTTCTTTGATTATTGTAAATGTTGAAACATTCGATGAAAAACAAGAGATTGATGAGTTATTCCTGTGCGTGGATTTACCATTGTAATTCGCAGACAAAAAAATATATAAAAAATATATACACGCACGAAAAACTTACATGATATTTATGTCACATTTTTACATTTCAGAATTCGTGACACGTTCTTCATTTATGTCTTCTGATTTGTATCAAGTCCATTCAACAAACGATATTAATAAAAAAAAAACTTGCACAGACAAACGAGTTGAATTGGCATTTGATATTTGCGAAAAAACATTAATTCCATCATACAATCTACACAGAACAAACAACATAAAAAGATCATAATTATTATATAATAATAATTATTATTATATATTATACCTTATATATTATATATATTATGTAATATACTATATAATAATAATAATAATTATATAATAATTACTATTATATATTTTATTATATATATTGTATTATATTATATATTATATAATATATATGATATATATTATATATTATATAATAATAATAATTATTTTTATATAATTATTATTATTATTATAAGAATATGATTTGACTGATGAGTTTTTATGCCTTATCAACACATTGCATGTTATTTAACACCAGAAAATATTTTAGAGTGTAAAACTTTTTGTGAAATAATGATAATTTATTGATACAACTCTAACTAATTAAACCATAAGTAAGGAAGAAGATGTTTGGTTTGGTTTGGTTTGTTAAAAGGCATCCTTATAGTTCATTT